ACATTCTCTGTCAGTACAAGATGGAGTACTTGGCGGCCAAACACATTCTCTGCCAGTACAAGATGCAGTCCATGGCGATGCTCTGCAGCACAAACAAGTCAGAGAGCTGCAGTTTTGTCCATGGCGTTTTGGGGAGAGATGAACCAGAGCAAGCACGAACAGACCTCGATGAAGAGGGCCTCCGCCCGCACGGCGTCCCCCGCGGCGAGCGCGGCCTCGGCCTTCTCCCGCGCCGCAACCAGTCAAGCCAGATAGAAATGGACAAGAAGAGTTGCGGTGTGGCGAGCCCGCGACGAGGCAGGGGCGGCGAGGAGGCCCGCAAGCTCTTGACGTTGACCGACTGGAGGATCTCGCCCTCGCTTCGCGGCGTCGGCGGCACCGTCGTCGTCGACGGCGAGGACGACACCCGGCTGCTCGTCGGCCTTTAGGTTGTTATTGGTGGTCCGGATCCGGCGCCTGCAGGCTCTCCGACGGCGGTTCCGACGCAGCCGAAGCAGAGTTGTGGGTTGGACTAACATGGGATCCAAATCAAGGATTTTTTTTGAGAAAGGGGGAGCTTGGGGAGGTAGGCGAGCGGTAGCTGCGGCGGCGGAGCAGGAGGCGGCTGCGGCGGGAGAGCGGGGAAGCAGGGGAGCTGCGGCGGCGGGAGAGCGGGGGAGAAGGGGAGCTGCGGCGGCGGGGAGCAGCAAAGCAGTTGCGGCGGAGAGCAGCGCAGCTGCTGCTTCTGTCGGAGGAGGAGAACGAGGAGCGCGGGTTTGGTCGGAAAAAATTAGAGGGTTTTTTTGTAAAAATGCCGGCACGACATGTTTTTCGGGACGGAGGGAGTATTTAGCAACGAAGGAAGCAGTTGTTGTTCTGGTGCGCTGGTCCTATAAGGTCTTATCACGACGACTTCCCAATTGTCAACTACAACAAGTTGTGCCCGGCTCTGATAAGGGAGCGTGATGACGGCGACGCGTCTTTGGCTCGCTTTAGTGCTTTAGCCATCGCTAGGTGGTCTATGAATCTGGATATAATTTTTATTATTTCTAGAGCGTTCGTTGTACCGTCGTGATTGAAAATGAATAGATCGGATGTTTTTTTCAAAAAAGTTCTCTCTCCCCGCACGCGTCCCGTAATGACGACCGAGTTAGACGTCCTTAATGACGACCAAGTTGGACTGTCCTAGATGCCCGCATCGCGTGAAGCAAAACCAATCAAGGCAATCATCATCATTAGTGGTTGCGTGGTGCCCGCCTGCTGACTGAACCGTGATGCTTCGTTTATCTCATGCTTTTTAGTGCTATAGTTCCTGCCCTCTTCAGTGGCACTAAACTAGTAATCCAATCGCAGGGCCGTCCGATGGAGATCGCACGTCGGGCGTTCGCCTGGGGCCCACCCCTAACCGCGTCCGCGGAGCAGCACCCGCAACCGCACATGCCGCTCTCCGTCCCCGCCCCCACTTTCTTTATTGACCCTCTCGCCCGTCGCGTCTCGTCTTGTCGAGTCGTCGGGTTGGTAGGTGCTCAGCCTTGTTTCCTCCTCTCTTCTCCGCCTTTTCCTCCGCCGGGGCGGAAGCTCCGACGATTCGCGCCGCTCGCCAAGGTATGCCCCGCCGCCCCTCCATGCCCTCTCTTTGATTCTGCAGCGTAGGAGCACTCGTAGATTTGTCGTGCTAAGTTCGGTTGATTTCGCGCCGTTCTCGCGGCCGACCCGTGCGTTTGTTCTTCTACTCGTCTTCCTCTCCGGCGTCCTCCTGGCTGGCTGGCCTGCCCCCGAATCCGGCCAAGGAGGCAAAGGGGGGGCTCAAGAAGTCAAGAGTGCTGCCCCCCTCCGCGCCTTAGTCCTAGAACTGCCGCCCTGCCGGCGTCACCGCCGACGCTTTACCAGTTTACCCCCAACCCCTCCGCCCCTCACCATCACATCACAGGCGTGTCGTCGCAGCCGCCGTTCGCCTTCTACATCGTCGCGGCCCCGCTGCCTCAACCCCGTCCGCGGTTTCGGCCCTTGGTTTCCCAAGTAGGACCATTTTTGTCACCCACAGAATGTGTGTGGCCCGTAGTTCAACCACCCACTGACCCTGTTTATGAGTAACACTGCCGTTTTATCTTTCAACTATGATTTACAAGCGTCTGCCCTTTTTCTAAATTTCCTGTTATCTTCTCTGCTTAGATATTTTGGACAGCAGGTATATTTTTTGGGTTGATTATAGCTGATAGGGAAAGACAATTTCTCTTGTGTTCTCTTGCTCTATTTGGGTTAGAACCATAATTCTACAGAGACAATTTGGACATCGGATTCGATTCACAGTTGCTTCTGTCAGTGCTCAGATCTCAGCAGCTGCTGACATTGTTAGTTGCACAAACCCACAACGACGCAGCAAACAACCTGAACTAATTTCAGCCTTTGCACATCTTCCAGCTCATATCTCTTTGTTCCCATCCTTTTGCTTGCTCAAACACCTCTGTTGCCACTCATTGTAGTGCCTTGGGCCCTTAATGAACTCACTCTCAGTCGTCGTTCTTTTGCAACAAAGCCCAACTATCCAACCAATAGCTAATTTGATAAGTCAGGACACTAGCATAACAAACCATTACATTCCTAAAACATGATGTATTCCTAGCCTTCCAGATGGCCTAAATAACTGCTGCAAAGCCAATTTGTATTAACCTTCCGATGGCCTTAGGAAATCGGGCAAGCCAACTTACTCAGCAGTACAGAAGCTGCTGTTTTCAGGGTCACATACAATGCCTTGACCGAGTCCTTTTTGTGCTTTAGGGCTCATCGCTGAATAGCCCATCTGCTCACATGACTTCTGGATTCTGCCATAACACCAAATTCTCTTACCAGCTCTCTTCTGAATCTTACACAAGCCCAAGCATCTCCTAGTATGCGAGCAACCTTCACTGCTTATTGACTTGATCGGCCAAAGTTTTAGTATTAATGCACAATCTTGTTGACCTCCTGTGAAAAATGTGAATTTCCAGGTTTACTGCACACCTGTGTGTGATAACACCTCCCTACAGAGTTATTTCCTCTTAAGGAGCTGTTGCCATAAGCCACACCTGTGTGTGATAACACCCCCCTACAAAGTTATTTCCTTTTAAGGAGCTGTTGCCATAAGCCATTACTGTTTATCAATTTCCAAATCCATTTATCCATCAAGCAAATGTTCATCACACATAGGCGTCCTCATTTTTTTAATATCATAAATGCCTAGACCTGGCCAGATATGTCTGTATATATCACATAGTGCATATATGTTTTAGGCAATTTCTCACAAGCTATATTGATTGTGGTGATTGATTCCATGTAGCAATCACATAACATGCAGGAGTTTCCAGTTTGTATCCAGTATAAAAACATTTTAGGCATGTACCAAGTTTCGGAGGTATGGAAATAAACTAGTTGGCGTTAGCGATGCTACAGTGAACTATTTTTGGCGTATGCTGTTGCTGGGTGTGCCACATTGGGGATAATTTTAGAACCAGCTATTTCTACTCTTTGTTGATACATTATCTAATTATGCGATGCGATGATATGTTCCAGTTCAGTGTTGCACCCAACATGGCTCCTATACATGTAGAGAAACGATGATTCTCCAGGAATGTTGAGGGCATGTTCAGTTGTTGTCATATCACTTAGTGGGATTGCAGGCATGCCATAGGTTAACTTTATTTTTGTATGTGGCAGGACTATGAGTTCCCTTTTACTTGCCATTTGAGCAATAGTTGTTAGCATGGTCTAAAATAGCTTCCATCATAGTATTTAAGTTGTCCTGGATTATTCTTGTAGATAACTATAGTAATAGGTCTATTTATTGAACGCATGTATCTTTACTTCTTTAGTCTTAATGCATTGTTTTCTCTTATATTTTGTTCATTTGAATTTGACATTATTTTCCATGTGTCAGTTACGAGATGTATGCGCTGCGTTTTAAGTTCCCCTCAGTTCGATATGCTTTCTCTAGAAGTACATGTGGGTGGGTGGGTGGGTGGGGGGGATGCATAAAACTAAAAGTATAAGTATAGTGTTTACATGTACACACACCTGTGGATTTAGATTTATGTATATATCATCCACAATCATGTTTTTCGTTCCATATGATTTGGGTGTAGATAAACCCTACAATTTGAGGGGGGGCATGCATAAAATTAAAAGTATAAGTATAGTGTTTACATGTACACACACCTGTGGATTTAGATTTATGTATATATCATCCACAATCATGTTTTTCGTTCCATATGATTTGGGTGTAGATAAACCCTACAATTTGACAAATTTGACCTAGTCTTAGTGGATATAACTTTTGCCTTCCTTTAGAAAAAATGGTGCTTCATGTGATGCAGAACACTTACCTCTAGGTGAACAAATAATTCAGACAGGGGCAGTCCATGCATAAGTGCTTTCCAAATCTGCTAGGCTATTTCTGTGTTTTAACATCCCAAATTAAGATCCGTTCGAGTCGGGGGACTTAAGATCCAGCAGAGAGATTATCCCAGTCCTGGGTTTGCTAGCTTCGCTTACTTGATTCCAGCATAGAGGAGGAGATTGATCCAGTCCTGGGTTTGCTAGCTTTGCTTGTTTCCAGCATAAGTGTGCTTTCCAATTCTGCATGGCTATTTCTGTGTTTTAACATCCCAAACTAAGATCCATTCGAGTCGGGCGACTTAAGATCCAGCAGAGAGATTATTCCAGTCCTGGGTTTGCTAGCTTCGCTTACTTGTTTCCAGCATAGAGGAAGATCCTTTTCTAAAAAAAAAAGCATAGAGGAAGAGATTGACGGCGTTTCAATTTGTTCATCCGGCTCTCTCAAATGATTTTTAGTTATTTCTTTATGATCTACATTTATATTTCTATTTAACTTATCGTATATTTGTCCTATCTCCTATGCAGTTGATGCCATCGTCGCACTGAACAATTATTGATAAAGTAGTCAAAACTAACTGCTGTTAATCTCGGGGAGGTGTACTGTCTCCTTGGATTCCGGCAAATAGATCACCTCCACAAGGTTGGAAAATATGTCAGCAAAGGCCTCTAACATGTCATACAGATATCCAGACAATTCTCAAATACCATACTACAGCAGTTCAATGCATGTGGGGGGAAATGGTACTTGCTATGTGCAACAAAATCATGAGGGTCATCACTACATGTCCTCTGATGATGGCTCACAGAACAGCGATTCAAAGTCTCAGGTGATTCACCCACAGTACAGCACTCTAGAGTCTTCATCAGCCAATTGTGTTTATGCTGTCAATAGCTCTACATCTCCTCAGTGCATAAGTGGGAGCCACATTTCTCTGCATGATAGCCACTCAGATCACACATATGATTCTCCTGCAAGTGGCATCACCGAGGTTCCAGGTTTGGGGTTTACAACACTTCAGGAGCTAGCAGATGCACTGTTTGGATCTGATTCAGATGCAGTTTGTTCTGACAGATCCTCCCTAGTAATTGGCGCCGCAATGCACCAAAGTAACTGGAGAGAGCTTCTGGGAATTAGCTCTGGGGACTTGAAGCAGGTAATTGTAGCATGTGGTAAGGCTGTTGATGAGAATAATTGTCACGAGGAATTGCTGATATCAGAGTTACAGAAGATGGTTTCTGTGTCTGGAGAACCAATGCAACGTCTGGGAGCCTATATGTTGGAAGGCCTTGTTGCGAGGCGTTATTCCACTGGACACGCGTTGTATAAATCTCTGAAGTGTAAGGAACCTCAACCTACGAATTCAGAGCTCATGTCCTACATGCATCTTCTCTATGATATCTGTCCATTCTTCAAATTTGGTTACATGTCTGCCAATGGTGCTATAGCTGAGGCTGTTAAGGGTGAGAACTTTATTCACATTATCGATTTCCAAATCGCTCAAGGGAGCCAGTGGGTAACTATGATACAGGCCCTTGCTGCGAGGGCTAGCGGACCACCATGCTTAAGAATTACTGGTATAGATGACTCAGATTCGGCTTATGCCCGAGGTGGTGGACTGGATATAGTTGGGCGTAAGTTATACAGCGTTGCCCAGTCATGTCGTCTGCCCTTTGAGTTCAATGCTGTACATGCAGCTAGTCATGAGGTTACACTTGAACATCTTGATATAAGAAAGGGAGAGGCTATTGCTGTCAACTTTGCGTATCAGCTGCATCATACTCCTGATGAAAGTGTCTGCATAGAAAACCACCGGGATAGGATATTGAGAATGGTTAAGAGCCTTTCTCCTAGCGTGGTAACTCTTGTAGAGCAGGAGGCTAACACAAACACTGCCCCATTCTTCAGTAGATACATGGAGACCCTTGACTACTACACTGCCATGTTTGAGGCAATAGATGTTGCTTGCTCCAGGGATGACAAGAAGAGGATGAGCACTGAGCAGCACTGTGTTGCAAGAGATATTGTCAATTTAATTGCATGTGAAGGTGCAGAAAGAGTGGAGAGGCACGAACCTTTTGGAAAGTGGCGGTCTAGACTTGCAATGGCTGGCTTTAGACCATACCCCCTAAGTGCATTGGTGAACAATACTATCAGAACACTGTTAAATAATTACAACAGTTACTACAAGCTAGAGGAGAAAGATGGTGTCATTTATCTCGGATGGAAGAACAGAAAGCTGGTTGTATCTTCTGCATGGTGGTGACATTCCTGAATATGGAAGAAGCTTGTTTAGGTATGTTGTTTACACTTAGACGTAACCTAGTAACATATGGTTAATTTGTATCATGGTCTATCCAATTAATTAAACCTCATGTTGTGTTGTCTTAGTTGGAGAACACACTTGGTTTTTATGGCTTGTGGCACATATTCTTGGGTTTATAATAACTATAGGTTTCAGAAAGCCCAACTGTAACCAATTCACAGCTGAGCTTAACAAGTAATGCAGGTGGAGTAAAACTTGAGGTTCTGTGCTAGAAGCCATATAACTTTATTTTACGAAAATTGCTAAGTTATTTTAGTAATTCTTCTGTCTTGGTAAAATTTAAGTTTATTTATAATAACCTTCTCACATACCTGTGTCATGCATTCAACATCTGGTGCTTACAGTTTTGTTGCCTGCAGGTTATGGCTTTGTGTTCGGCACATAAATCCTAGGTGGAACCTAATCAGCGAATGTGAATTCCATAATCCAAAGGACTGTGGCTGCTTGCTTCTTGGCGCCCAGCTGTCAACCCTCCGCTGCGCACACCATTCAGATTTGATGGGTATAACTGAAATACTCGTCGTGGCTTCGGTTGTAATATAGGCACAAACCGTGCTGCTGCTACCGTCTACTGACCATCTCTAGCTGGTGAACCACGTCCTGAGTCTCAAAGGGGATCTTTATGTTCCTTGGTAGTTTCATTCTCTCTCGTCTTTATGTGAAACCTGGAGCTTATGCTAGGTAATGGTAGCCGCTACACAGTTGTCTGGTAGATTGTGTATGTTCCACAAAAAAAGTAGATTGTGTATGTACCATTTGATGGATGATTTATTATATGTATGTTACACGAACTGAACTTCTAGTAATATATTTCTGGTTTGTTTGTCATAATGCTTCACATTTCTTTAAGCATCCATTTTTACTTTTTGCTGTGCCGTGCCAGCAGATTATAGATAGATGGATTTTTGCACACTAGACACTAAAAGTTCTGATGAAAGGCCCCTGGGTCGTGTGGAATGCACCGAAGTGAAGAGGTGTCACTGGGTTGTGTGTGGCTCTCGCATGGAGGTGTTTGACGGCAAGTGCTCGATTTACTCCATTACGTCGGCCGTCCATCAGCGTGGATGCGTGCTTGGCGTCCAATAGCGTGCATGCATGTTTCGTATCCAGTCTTTGCAAAAACATGGCTATGTTGAAAGAGCCACACAAAAGGCTATTGAAGTCAATTCCACAACTTCATCACTTGGTTATTCATCATCAACATCGGAAAGTACTCTTCTTGCACCACCAACACTCTTTGAGACTTCTTTTTCATGAAGCTCTTGTTGTGGATGAGCTTGCCTCCATTGTTTTCCCTCTTCTCGTATGTGTAATCGACAATGAAGTGACTCACGTTTCCATAATTGTAGCAAGTCCTAACTCTTTGACAGATCTATTATAAAGATTCACCGCAAGTACAAAGCACCTCAAACATAATAAAAATTACATCGAGGTCCATGGACCACCGAATGGCCATTACCACCGCCAGAACGAGCCCTCAACGAGCCGCTGTCGCCGCTTCCATACCGGAGCCGGCTTGACCTTGTCGATGACAGTCGGGAAGTCTTCATTCACTGCCCCTAAGGACCAGGTCCCTGGAGCTGCAGTCGTCATTGAATCTTTGAATCGATCTGAAGAACCTGACACCAAATATCTCCGTTGCATACGCACTGCGAGAAATCCTAACCTCCCCGCCCCAAGGAGCTAGCAGGAATCTACGCCAGAACTTCGTCTAATCCGTCCCAACGAACACACTTGAGGAGGGTCGGAGCCCGGAAGACTGATTCAAAGAAGGAGCGGCGCCATCCGTCCAAAGAAGGAGCGCCGCCAAGGAGCTAGCCGGTGAAGATCGAGGGAAGGAAGACTTTCCCAAGTCTCTTTGGGAGAGAAGAAAGAAAAGCCAAAGTTTCTACAAGAGTTAACTCTTTGACCCTTTGACTTGAAATCACTTGAGTTGTCCTTTGAGTTGTTCTACTTGAAGTTCCTCTTGTTGTCCTAAAAAGCTCTTGAAGCTAGAGCAATGTGCACATTGAAAGCATATTTGGTGTTTTTAGAGCAACACTCGCCTTCTTCTTATTTTTCTTCTCTAGTCTCTTGAATATGGACCACTTTGGCCTTCAATGCAAGGTTGGGCTTCTTGACCCCACGAGCAAGAGCATTGTCGGCGGTTTTGCTCAAGATTCCCATGGAGACGAACTTATCCAACACATCATTAGATGACATGCAGTGAAAGTCTAGTCTTTCATGAATCACGAAAGAAGTGCTCTTGTCAAAAGGCATGACCGCCTTAAAAACTTGCGCTTGATCCAACTGTCATCCGAGTCCTTACTACCATAGTCCTTGAATGAAATCGCAAGGGCTATCAGTTGACGATAGAGTTCTTCAGGGGTCTCGTCTTCATGCATGATGTGGACTCAAACAATACGTACTAAAAATGTAGGCGTCATCTCTTAATTGCCCCAGCTGGACTAGGTAGTACAACATAGCTTGAAAAATGATCTTATATTGCGGGATGGAAGGAGTACATGCCATTTTCTTTTCCTCTTTGAAAATTAGGAAGCTTCAACAAATAAGTGTAAGTAACCCTGCAAAAAGGAACTAGTGTAAATAAGAAGGGGTTATGGAGCTCTCCTACAGTACAATACGACCACTAGTCGTAATAGAGAGTATCATATACTAGTATCATGCATATGATAATAGTGTATGATAATACTTCCGTAATGCATAGTATCATAACCTAGTATCTTAGTTTGCCTCATTAATTGACATGCATGACACAAAGTAGTACTACATTTAATATGATACGGTATCATAATATGATATCACATCCTCTCTTTCCTCATTTAGTTCTCTGCCACATCATTCAAAAAGTCTACTTGGCATGCATGATACCGCTTATAATACTCCCATTACGACCAGCCTTAATGTTCTCTGGTTTCATACATGATGAAATAAATTACCGAAACTAATCTGATTGCCCATGCATTTAATGAGCCGATATCTTACCGTATAACTAACACAATAATTATACGGTCAGATCTTAACCAAATTCAGTTAATACGACGCCCCTGGTGCCGTGCCAGCTGGCGCCTCCCCTCCCCTCCCACCCCGCATAACTCGGACGGGTGTCGTCCTCCTGCCACCTCTCTGGTCTCACCCTCAAGTCAACCCGGCCGCCGCTTCCTCCGCTATATAAACACGCAGCAGCGCAAGGCTCTCGTCCAATCTCCATTTCGCATTCCCCAAATCCCAGCAATCCGAAACCCCAGAGCAACCGCAACCGAAGCTTGCAAGCCATGGATCCGGGCGGGCCGCCCCGCCCCGCGCCCTCCTACGCCGGCGGCCCCGCTGGCTACCGCGGGGAGGCCTCCTCCTCGTCGTCCCCGCAGCCGCAGCAGCTGCAGCAGCAGCTGCCGCAGCCGAGCACGCCTTGGGATCTTGGTGCGGGCGCGTCTCCCTTCGCCTTCGGGCCACCGGTGCCGGGGCTGATCCCGCCGCTGCACCCGCAGTTTGGGTCGCAGCAGCACCCCAGAGACATCTACTACTCGGTTGGCCCGCCGATGCCGATACACCCATTGGCGTGGACGCCGAGCTACCTGGAAGCCATGGGTCCGCACAACTGGAGCGGCGCCAGCGACGCGTTCCGCCCCGCCGTCCTCCCCATCAGCAACTCCGACATGGTGGCCGCGCCGCAGCCGCCGCAATTCGTGCAGAAGCAGAATCCGCCGTGGTTCGAGCCACTGCCGCCGCAGCCCTATGTGTATGTGGGGCAGCCAGCGCCACGGATTTACCAAGACTGGAGGTTGGTGCAGATCCGATCGCAGTTGCTCAGTTCCCCGATGACGCTTGAGCAGCTGGTGATGTCCCTGGACCAGGAGCACTTGGAAATCCTGGTCCACCAGCTCGAGGTGGGCGACGGGCAGATGCGCAAGATGGTGCTCGACGGGTTCAAGCGCTGCGCGCACTGGATCATGGGGAACAGGCAGGGGCATCCGGTGTTCGAAGCGCTGCTGGGAAGCTTCCATGGGCACTACAAGGAGCTCAAGATCATCGTGGAAGCCGCCGTCACGCCCAGGCTCGTCCCGAGGTCCGACGACGGGTACGTTCACAGATCAATGCATGACTCCCTGCTACTGCCAGTTTGATCAAAACTAGTTTACCACTGTGATTCGCATGTCCAAATTACATCTCTATAGCATAGTAAACAGCTTGCTAATCAAACAAACAGGTTTCGATCGCAGCACCTGCTGTGATTCTGATTACATCTCTATAGCATAAACAGCTAGCCGGTCAAAGTACTATGGCCCATGGTATTAGCTAGCGAGTGCAGTGCCCTGTGTGTGGTGAACCCGGCCTGCTGCTGAATTTGTGTTGCCTTCATCTGTGTGATGATGCAGGGTGGCTTCTCTGGAGTTGCTCATCACGGCGGTGGCGAGCTCGGTGTACCCCCGCCTGTCCGGGCTGCTCGTCGAGAGCTTCGTCAAGGAGCGCGTGATGGACGACGTCCGAGGGGACGAACTGATTGTCCACTGTTTCACCACGATGCCTATCAACGTGACCGCGGTGAGTGCCGCAATGGCATGCAGCAATCACTGGGAATCACTATCGGACTCGCGGTCTATGCCTACAGCCACGGGCCGTCGGCATAGGTCCCTAAGCCGTCGGCATAGATATATGCCTACGGCTGCCGTCGGTATAGACCCGTCGGCGTAGATGTCGTCAGCGTAGTCTTGTCAGACCGTCGGCATAGTATAGCTGTCGGCATAGGGGTCTATGCCGACGGCCTGGCGTCAGCCGTCGGCATAGTATAGCCGTCGGCAATGTTTTCCGTCTGACGGCCGCGGACGGCGCCGTCAAAAGCGCGGACGAATCATGCAATGCCATGTGGCAGATGTATGCCGACGGCAACGCCGTCGGCATATCTCTGCCACGTGGCAACCCGTGGTACTCCTGGTGGCAGG